AAAAAGAGTCCTATAATAAAATAGAAACTTAGGGCAAAATACTAACAATTCTCCCCTTGGCCTGAATTCCGGACAAAATCATAGCACATTATTTGTGTAAATATTATTCGAACCATGATTGTGAATATAAACGAAAATCAATGACATATAGGAAAGCCATGTTTATTTCCCAAAACGAACTCATCAGCAAGTCAAAATGAAAAAGGTAAACAAAGAAATTAGATAGAAGAGGTAATTATAAGCAGCACACATTAGGTTAGCATATGGGCTGTTGTAATATATCTTGCACTATTTGGTACAATCACCTCTTTCATTATTGGTGTCATGAATTATTGGCATACTCCTATTCTTCTTTCTGTTTGAATGCACATGATTTTGAATGGAACCAATAAATGGCGAAGCCAGAATATTCAGTAAGGATCTATTTTTAATTAATAACAAGTAATAATATTTTACTTTATATATAGTACAATTTTCGGCTAAGGGCGTTCGGTTGACCATCCTTGGTCACTCATAACTTCGCCCCTGGAACTAATGATGATGATGACCATAGATAACTAACAAGAATTATGATAGAGTGATCGGTATTCTTTCATCCTTAACTAGAGGTTTTAAGTTTGAATTCTGGATATATAATCGCTTTAGTTAGAGAGCGCTTTCTCTTTAAAATAGAATTTTTTTGGGTATGAATATGAATTTAATCAAGTCCCAACATGAATACCAAACTACACCGGATGGAAAAACAAAAAAAAAAAAAAAAAAAAAAGAGAATGATGACCAAATATATATGTGTGGTCACATGGAGCTAGGCTTTGTGCTAAAGTCATTTGATTAGTTCTCGTTGGCATCTTCTTCCCACTTATATGGACTTGACGAGGAAGTTAGTTTGAAAAGACGTTTCGTGGATAAAAAAGAAGAAAATAATAGGGGATTTATAATCTGTCTAAGGTCATCATCTGTTTTAATGTTGGACAAGAATCATGGTGTCAGCATGTGCCACAATAATCTCAATAGACCTATAATAATTAAGTAAAACAAAATTTTAGTGAACAAAGTTATTTGATATATGTATATAGATATCCAACGGAAATTGGTTCGAACACGGTTATTATGAAAAACAAAAATAAGTAAAGGAAAACAATATATATGCCATATGAAACGATTAATATATATTTATATAACCTTTCTATTTTAACTAATGTTGGGCGTTTGATTGAGCACGAGATTATGTCATGAGATTTTTACCTATAATAATTAAGTAATTAAGAAACATTATATAGAGAGTGGCGAATTCATGGTTTGAGCTTTATGAGTTTTTGTAGTTAATATTAAAATAATAACTAAGTTCACAGTAAATATTTACAAATATTTAATAAATCTCTTAATATATATAGGGTTTGAGGAAAAGTTACTTGGTGATCAGTAAACTCGTAACCAACACTATAGATCTTACCTAGTATATAGGTCATGCATGGGAAACGATTACTATATACTTCTCTCGGTTTAATTTATGTAGCGATATTTGATTTCAATAAAAATAAAATAAAAAATTTAAACAAATTATTTTTAATATAATTTTAGCTCTTTAAGAACAAACGGATAAAAAATCAGTACCGTATAAAATAAAACAGGACTAATATATAAGTGCGCTAATAATTATATTTATGATCAAGTCCAACTGCCCAGGCGAGCTGGAGTGTGGGACAGTTTCTTAATGCAGGACACATGGATGACGAATGCAGAGTGAAGGTATTAAAAATTTAACAATAACAACAAATTAGGTATTATTGCACAAGTGAGTTCTGGGGAGGATAATTGTACGCAGACCTTATTCTTATTTTGTGAAGGTAAAAAGACCGTTTTTGATAGACTCTCGGGCTCAAAAAACAATAAAAAGGAAGCAACAAACTATAATACTCCCTCCGGTCCAAAATAAGTGATTTTTTGGTTGTTTTTACACAGATTAAGAAATTCACCTTTTATCATTAATTATCAATGAAATTGACCATATTAACCTTTACTATCTCTTCACATAAACACTCCTAGCAGATACTCCAACACTATTTACTCCATGGGCAATGTAGGAAAAAAATAATTAATTCATTCTTGAAATCTGAAAAAATCACTTATTTTGGACCAAAAAAAAAAGGCCAAAAAATCACTTATTATGGACCGGAGAGAGTAACAACAAGGTAATAAGAGACAAGAGATTAAAAATATAAAATGGAAAACTATAAAATTTAATTCTCAATCATAAGTCTAATTTTAATGGGCAATATGAGTTGGTGATAGATAGTACATTCTATAAAATAGTCGAGATACACGAAGGGCAGTCCAGTGCACAAAGTATATAGCGTTCATGCAGGGTTCGAAGAAGGGCCGCACCCAAAGCTGTGTGATGTAAATAGCTTACCCTAATGCAAACATCTACTTCCACGGTCTAATCCATGATCTATAAATCATACGAAAATAACTATACCGTTGCTTTCTAAAACTTCCCTTAAAAAAATAGATTGAAAATACAGAAATTATGAACCCATCACTTTCTTCCCTAGATAAAGATAAAGTTCGAGGCCTAGGGGTGAGGGGAAACCTTTATGTGAGAGGAAAAAAGGAAAAGAAAAAAGGGAAGTTTATTAATTATTTTAGAGAGACTTTAAGACAAACCAATCTAGTTGTCGACTCAATATTTCATGTGCATTCATTAAATTAAATGTGGGTGAAATGTAAAGCAAAGAAGGAAAAAAAGCATGATTCTGTTGCCTTACACCTTACGAGAGAGAGCACTTGTCACTTTCTCACCCCAATTTCTATCTACTGCTTATCTTCTAGCTTCTTTTTTTTTTCATATTCGATATTCCGTATTTGTATTACTCCTTTCGGTCCACAATAAGTGATCAATTTATTTTTATTTATTTTGATCCAAAATAAGTGTCCATTTATATAATCAAGAAAGAATTCAATTTATTTTTACAAAAGTACCCTTGTGTACATATCCCTAAAAAGTTTTCTTACTCCTCACATTAAATATTTAATTAAGGATAGTTTAGTCATACTATGTATTTTTGTACAGAATTTAGTATTTTCTTAATGGGCGTGTCAAAAGCAAATTGGTCACTTATTATGGACCGGAGGGAGTATTTCAGAGACGAATTTAGGATTTTTAGAATATGGGTGCACCACTGAAAATGCTAAGTGGTAATCAATCAATGTTCCTTTGGATAAGTAACGATCGACATTCAACCAAATGCACCATTCAACCTTTTTGAAGCATGTGTTCTAACAGATAATATTAGATCAATTTTACGAAATATACACATAAAATACCTAATTTGGCGGAAAGATCATGGGTTACGTGTATTGTAAACACGGCCTAAATCCGCTCCTAGCTGTGTAAGGCCGATTAAAGGAAAAATCGCTCCTTATAGGATTTTTTTCATATCCATAGTTAAAATTTGAAATCTCCGATTAAAGATGAACACTCCTATATATTCATTTTACGACAACCGTCGGATGATTATTCTATCCTACCATCTCCTCAACAACAATAACATATTCAATGTAATTCTACAAATGTGGTTTGGGGAGAGTAATTTATACATATACTTTACTTTTACCTTGTGAAGATAGAGATATTATTTCCAATATACTCTCGACTCAAAAAATATCCTACCATCTCCTAATATTGTTAAATATTTTTGCAAGCTAGACTACATAGGATCTGTTTTTCTCCATTGACAGGTGTACAAAAATATACATGGTTATATAAGTTCACATTAATTGTCTCGAAGGTGCAATAAGTAGTACTTATATATAAGCACTTTTAAATATTATATTCCAGCAAAATAAATAAATAAATAAATAAATAAAGGCAGGAAAATTCACGCACTTTTCTTTACTTTGTTTTAAGGCAACTTGTTGGAAGTCTCATCTTTTTCCCTGGTGGTTGAATCTGAGGACCCGTGATCTAGATAAGGGACATAATAGCCTTGGATCTAGTAGTTTAAATTTGTTGGTTGATATAACGACTTAAAATTTATTGTGTTAGTAAATGCCAATCTAAAATAGATATATGGATATTGAATTTGAATCTAATACTCTTTTATTCCGTTCATATGACAGTGTTTAATTGAATATAATGTTTAACATATTATTTTTGGTTTTCCAATCGCTGTTCCGTATGAGAAAATAATATCGTATAGTCACTTTCAAAATAATAGCAGAGAGAGAGAGAAATTTTATGTACTTTTCGACTACCGACTATAAATAATTTCAGCTGCACGTCAAAAATGATCTTTGTCCGTTCAGTATTCGCATTGAAGCCCTAACTAATTCGGATGCGGGCCACATAAGACCCATATTCAAGTCCCATCTAATCCGGATACACGCTATGTGACGCCCATTAAAGAGGAAAGCTTTTCCTACCAGAATATTTTTCATTCGAGCTCGAACTCGAAACATCTAATTAAGAGAGAGATCAATCTGTCCCATCACAATCCTTGATGATAATATATTAATTTGGACTTATATATTATTCTAATAGGTAGGGCCGGGGGGGGGGGGGGGGGGGGGAGAGGTGTTTCTAAAGTAATGGTTGAAAGATTATCGGTAATCTCTTCCCATCTATTTAACTTTTGATGGACAGAGTTATCTGATACTATACTAATAGGTAGGGGCGGAGCTAGAAACTCGTATATGTGTTCGGTTGAACCCAATAGCTTTTGCTCAAAAGACATATTTGTATTTAAGAAATTCATTCAATATAAATTTAGAATTCAGTTATTAGTAGTTGAAGTGGTTGTCTTAAAATTCAAAACAAATAAAAGTAAATTCCTGACTCCGCCGCTAATAGGAGGTAGCATGGATTCCGTAGAATAGTCGAGATGTGCGCAAGATAATCGGACACCACTATAATTATATAAAAAGATATTGTTTACACTATTGGCATGTCTAGTTTAAATGTATAATTAAATACATCTACATAACTCTATAATAATATAGACTGTAGAGAGGGAGAGTAGTCTTTACAGAGATTCTGGCGTGGGTGCGTGGTTTGCCAGCAATGAAACAGAAGGACCAAAGTTTTCTCTCAGTTTATTAGGTCAAAGCTGGCACTGTGTATTCATGCATTTCCCTTTCATTCCCTCTCCCTCTCTATATCATATTTACATGTTTTAGTATTCTCTCTTCATTTCAAACATCAAAAAAATGAAAATATTAATGTAAATACAGACACCCTTTAGGCCAAGAAACAAGAAAATTTGCAGCATTTTGATGGTTAATGATCCTTGTACATCAACAATGGCTGCATCTCCAACTCTTTCCTGTGCAGAAAAGAAGCATTGGTGGATTAGCAACAAAAAGGTAACAACATATTCTTGATTTTACTCTCATTGATTCGGTTGAAGGGATCCTTGGAGCAACGGTAAAGTTGTCTCCTTGTGACCTATAAGTCACGAGTTTGAGCGGTGAAAGCAGCCACTAATGCTTGCATTAGGGTAGGCTGTCTAAATCACACCCCTTGAGTTGCGACCCTTCTCCGGACCCTGCGTGAATGCGGGATACCTTGTACACCGGGCTTGTACACTGGGCTGCACTCTCATTGATTCGATTGAAGGGGAGCCTTGGAGCAACCGTAAAGTTGGCTCCGTTTGATCTATAGATTACAAGTTCGAGCCGTGGAACCAGCCACCAATGCTTGCATTAGGGTAGGCTGTCCACGTCACGCCCCTTGAGGTGCGGCCCTTCTCCGCACCCTGCGTGAATGCGAAATGCCTTGTGCATCGGGCTGCACTCTCATTGATCCGACTAGTTCAGATTAACAAAACTTTCATAGACAATTGTATACATAGTCATGCACTTATGTTGTGTAATTATTTTTTCAGATTGTGGAAAAATATATCAAAGATGCAAAAATTCTCATTGCCAGTCAAGAAACAAATGAGATTGCTTCAGCTCTTGGACTTCTTGAAGCTGCACTTGTACTTTCTCCACGTCTTGAAATAGCACTTGAGTTAAAGGCTCGATGTTTGCTTTATTTAAGGTGTTTTAAGGATGTAGCCTATATGTTACAGGACTATATTCCTAGTCTAAGAATTCCTAGTGATGACACCTCTTCTACCTCTTCTTCTGGTTCATATGATAATTCAAAGGAGCAAATTAGGCTTATTTCCTCTGGTGATGAACCAAATTTCAAGTGCTTCTCTGTTTCTGATTTGAAGAAGAAAGTTATGGCTAGCCTTTACAAGAATTGCAATAAAGAAGGCCAATGGAGGTAAGCCGTTGGATCGAACAAACTTTTAGTTACTTAATTATATTATGTCTTAGACATGCCTCTTCACGTGTGAGCCTGAATTTTTTTCATGGGAAAAACACGTGAAAATATTACTCCTTCTGTCCCAATTTATGTGACGTTGTTTGACTGGACCCAGAGTTTAACAAAGAAAGAAAGATTTTTGAACTTATGGTCTAGAATAAGCCATAGTTGTGGCGCTATATATCATCTCATTAAGGGTACAATGGGCATTTTAAAGTTAAATTATTACTTACTAAATATAGAAATGTGACATTCTTTGTTTATGGGATGGGGGAAATAGTTGCTTTTCGGGCGGCGATGAGATTTGTACCTAGAATCTATTGTCTGTTCTGATACCATGTTGAATTGTGTTCTATTTGTTTAAGTTGTTAGAGAGAACATGCTTTTAATTACTTAATTATATTATGTCTCGACAGGTATTTGGTCTTAGGACAAGCTTGTTGCCATTTGGGTCTAATGGAAGATGCAATGGTTCTGTTACAAACTGGAAAACGCCTTGCTACAGACGCCTTCAGACGCGAGAGCATTTGTTGGTCCGACGATAGTTTTTCATTTGCAAAATTTCCACTCTCAGGAAAAAACTGCACAACTTTGCCGATAACCGAGTCAGAAATCATCTCTCAACTTCTCAGTCATATCAAGCTACTCTTACGACGAAAAACTGCTGCTATTGCAGCTCTTGACGCCGGTCTTTACTCAGAAGCTATTAGACATTTTTCAAAGATTGTGGATGGTCGTCGTGGTGCCCCTCAGGGATTCATGGCCGAATGCTATATGCATCGAGCATCAGCATATCGTTCCTCTGGTCGAACTGCAGAGGCAATAGCTGATTGCAATCGAACTTTAGCGTTGGATCCTTCTTGCATTGATGCTCTTAGGACCAGGGCTGCATTATTTGAAACCATAAGATGCTTGCCCGATAGTCTTCACGATTTGGAACACTTAAAACTCTTGTACAATTCAATTCTACGCGATAGGAAATTATCAGGACCAATATGGAAGCGTCAAAATGTGGAATACAGGGAAATTCCAGGGAGGCTTTGTTCCTTGGCTACTAAGATTCAAGAATTGAAGAAGAGGGTTGCAAATGGCGAAACAGGGAATGTAGATTACTATGCATTGATTGGTTTGAAGTGGGGTTGTTCAAGATCAGAACTGGAAAGAGCGCATTTGTTGCTAACTTTAAGACACAAGCCTGATAAATCGACGAGTTTTATAGAAAGATGCGAGTTTGCAGATGAACAAGATGTAGATTCTGTAAGGGATAGAGCAAAGATGTCTGCTTTACTGTTGTATAGAATGATGCAGAGGGGTTATGCTAGTTTGATGACGATAATAAAGGACGAAGAAATGGCCGAGCAGCAGAGAAAGAAGGCTGCTGCTGCATTGCAACTGATGCAGCAACAAGTTCAGCTAAATCAAGAACTCCAACAATCAAAAGCTGACACTTTCGGCACAGCTGCAATGCAGCATGCTACATCATGTAGTAACACAAACGCCACAAACACAAACGCGACAGTGTTCCAAGGGGTGTTCTGCAGAGACATTGCCATAGTTGGGAATTTGTTGTGTCAAACAGCTGGTTTTAATCAACCAATTCCAGTGAAATATGAAGCATTGAGTTGCTGAATATATATTAGCTTGAGATGTTAATGCCACTGGCTCAGCAGAACCTGAATCTGCTCCTATATCATTGTACACAAGGGGGGGAAATGTACTTACCAACTGCTAGCTGGGAAAGTTTTGTTACCTAGTTTAATCTATTTTTCGTTATTTTCATAGTCTCTTCTCAATAAAAATACTCTAGCTTTGCACTACATGTACAGAGTTAAATTCAGTACTTAATATATCTACTAGGAAGGGGAGCCTTGGCGTAACTGGTAAAGTTGCTACCATATGACCAGGAGGTCACAGGTCCGTGGAAACAGCCTCTTGCAGAAATGCAGGGTAAGGCTGCGTATAATAGACCATTGTGGTCCGGCCCTTCTCCGGACCCGTGCATAGCAAAATCTTAGTGCACCGGGCTGCCCTTTTAGTATATCTACTAGCAGTCTAATACCTTTTCAACTTTCATTCGCAATAAAAGAATCAAAGTTAACACTGCCAAGTTCTTCACTACACAACTACTGATAAGTTAGGGTGAGGGATAGTTTAGAAATGAGGATAAGCAATCTGTTATATGTCAAATTGCACTAATTGTGTAAAAAATATTTTCTTTAGTTATATTGAAAAATGCAATGAGGTGAATGGTGATCATTCATTCTCACTTTGGTTTCCTCTCTAGTTTCTCTAATTAATCAACACGGCCTAGCAATCAACGAAGTGGATGAAAATCATCGGAGACTAAAGTATCCTTAGTAGACGGAATTACCAAGTATCTATTCTGGTGGGAGGTAGCAAGTATGCGGTAAAATAGTCGAGATGCACGAAAGCTAACCCAAACACTATTGCTATAAAAAGAAAATCACAAGAACATCCACAAAGGCAAAGTGGACCTAGAGACATGGATTTTACAATACCATCGTTGTGACTTTTGAAAGGGACATAATAGTGAATTTGACGTTATAATGAACGAGTGAAGTTTGTAATAGCCTCGTAGAAAATAATAAGACACATGAACAATATAGGAATCGATTCGAAAATAGGCTCTCTATCCTCAAAAAATCAGGTAAGACATGCGTACACACTACCCTCCCCAAACGTAAAAATAGCACGGTCTAGCCAGTTTTCGGACTGGTCATTCAAAAATAGCCAACTTTTACCAAGTCAATGAAAAATAGCCACTATTTTGCTGCAACAGAGACCGGTCCAGCATAATATACTGGAGTTCGGTGCACCTGTGTATGAACTTCCAGCATATTATGCTGGAACTCCAACACACGGAAAGTTCCAGCATAATATACTGGAGATTCTAGCACTTGTGTATGAACTTCTAGCATATTATACTGGACCGGTATACTTTGCTGGAACTCCAGTATATTATACTGGAGTTCCAGTGTACTTATGCTGGAACTCCAGTATAATATGTTGGAGTTCAAGTATACTTATGCTGGAACTCCAGCATAATATACTGGCGTATTTTCCGGGTTTTGAACAGTGTGTTCGCTCAGATTTATCTTTACATGAAAAGTGGCTAGATTTCGATTACTTTTGAAACTGAGCTATTTTTGAACGACCACTTGTAAATCTGGCTAATTTTTGAATTTCTCCCTCCCCAAACCCCACTTGTGAGACTACACTAAATTTGTTAATGTTGTATAAAATAGTTCATAAGAAATTCAATGCATACACCGATAAAATCCATCTGTAAAATAAAGAAAGGGGAAATCCTTTTGCCTTAAAAAATTATGTCATTTAGTTATTTCTCAAGAAGAAAAAAGAGGTTGTTGATCCTTTACTCCGACAGCATCTAGGGTAACATTTGAATGATGTACTTAGAAACCAAAAAGTCAACTTTTGCATACAGAAAACAGTGCATACAGTGAATGAAGATACAACAAAGATAGGTACAGACTTTAATATAAATTCATAATATAACTGAATGGGAGATAACAAATACAGGTATGAATTTAAGTCAAGAATATGTAGATGGCAATTTCAAGCTACACGTAAATATTACAGAGAAATAAGAATACCTTGTCATCAAACTACAGAGACACCAAAGTGTACAAAATTGGTACCAAAACAAAATGAACAAATATCTGGTGAAACCAATCTTTTCATCTTTTCCAGAAAAGGAAACATTAGCTGATCCACAGCATATCGACGATGCTATATCTTTGAACTTCTCAGGCTAATGAAAACCTACTTTATATATTGAGATACCCACTTAAAGCCATCGCCATAACCCATTTTCCGTACAATGCTACACATAAATACCTCTAAAGGCCGAACATTTGAATCAGCAAGATTCGCCTTACCCTTGCCAGTAGTGACACCGGTCAAGCCAAGATGATAACGCAATTCATCTTCTGAGGCAGCATATGGTATGTCTATCTTGTTACCCAAAATGAGGAAGGGGACAGTAGAAAGGGCCTCATCAGAAAGAAGCGCATCTAATTCCTTCTTCGACTCTGCAAATCGCTCTTTGTCGAATGCATCAACTAGGTATACAACTGCATCAACCTGCATAAACAGCAACTCGAGCCAATTGATACAAAACTCCAGAATACTCATTGGCCAGTTTAACAGTCACCGAAAAAGCAAAAAAAATCAAATTTGACTAAAATGTCCATTAAACTATGGATATAAAATGGCCAAATTTGGCACTTGGTGAGAGTAAGGAGAATTTGTCTAAAAATATTAAGCATTGTCGGATCCATTTGGTTAGCCACCCCCAGAAAAACAGAAAATAAAGGCAAAATGGCTAAAACTGTAAACACTAAGAGGCTATAAAGCAATCAAGACCAAGATCAAAGATGGAAAAGTATCACGGAGTCAAGCTTGTAACCTTGAGGGAAATGACACACCAGAGACCTAAAATAAAGGAACAAGAATGTCTAGTCCTTTTAAGCTATAGGACAACAACTGCATGCACTGTCGTTTGTTATTTTCTTTAAAAATTTGCAAGCCTATAACGGGATTCAAAAAGAAAAATTGAATGAGTCCTTTCAAAATATAAATAAAGTTTTGATCAAACAGTATCCAGTATAAGTCACTATGTAACTTATCATTTCCTTCCTTTATCACTGATAAATATCAAATTTATTTCAAGTATCTTTAAGTCATACGTGACATTTATTTTTGAGTAAGGTAACACCATCTCGGACATTTATTTTGATGAATGCAATATCACCCTTCACAAGAATTGATACCTTTCTAGCGCCAAAAGGATGGAAAGAACAAGATTTCCATCGTTATCCATCTTTAGTAAAGAAATTTTAGTTTGGCTATGCTAAAATGACTCAAAAAAATATGATAACATTGATAATGTAACAAATTAGTGCTAAAAAAGTTAACAAAAATACTGCAAGAGAACAACTTCACCTTCAACATATTTAATTTGTCAAGTGAATACTTTCTAAAGTCCCTATTTTTACAGATATAAGTGTCATCAAATGAAACACAACAATGTTTCAATGTCGCTGCACGGGCAAGCATTCTAGAGGCCTTATTAAGTGACAAGTCACTAAAGAGAAAGGCAAGTTATCTCGATGAGGGAGAAAGATAAGGAGAGTATCTGCCTAAGTAGAATGTAGTCAACTGGCATAAATATTAACCATAACCCGATTTGCCTTTGAAACAACAACAATTTTTTTTTGGAAAAAGGCAATATTATCCTTCACACGAATCGAGTACCTTCCTAACACTAGAAGGACGGGAAGAACAAGGCTTTCATCTTTCTTCATTTCAAGTAAAGAAATGTTATTTTGGCAATACTACAAGCCTACAAGTGAGACTAAATAAAAGGAACATGTCAAATGCTAACAAAGCAACAAATTAGTGCAAACAAGGTAAAGACGATGCTGCAATAGACCTACTACACTTCCAACAAATTTAACTTGTCACATGAATATTTTCTGAAGCTCTTATATTGACGGAGATAATTGTCACCAAACTAATGTTGCATAGTTGCTGCAAGGGACATCCAACCTAGAGGCATTAATAAGTAATAACGACAAGGGCCACTAAAGAGAAAGACAAGTCATCTTGATAAGGGAGAACGAAAAGCAGTCTCTGGATATGTAGAATATAGCAATAGGCATAGATATTATGGTGATCATCTCCAAAATCCAGCTGTCTTACAGGATAAAGGTATTCAATTTGCAACATAACCTATTGCAGTAGCTTTCCAAGATTGGCACGTTTAAGGGCAGGGCAGCCCGGTGCACAAACCATCCCGCATTCACGCAGGGGCCGGGAAAGGGCCGCACCCTAAGGGGTATGATGTAGACAGTCTACCCTAATGTAAGCATTAGTGGCTACTTCCACAGGTCGAACTCATGGCTTATACGTCACACGGAGACAACTTTACCATTGCTCCAAGGCTCCTCTTCAAGGTGCAGATATATAAGTGTGCATATAAGTGTGCGGATATATAATGTTGCACTAACCAAGTTGAGCTAGTCAAACTTTTTGATTGTTTCTACAAAGGAAAAGAGCTCCACATACTTTATAGCACGAAAATTCAGCAAGACGAATTTCAGACCAACAAGATAAGCAAAAAGATTAACATGCAATACAGACTACATGGATCTGATGCAATCACATGATTTAATAGGCAATTTCGAGTTTTCTTTACTTTTGGATTATCAAAAAGAGATTCTTTTTGATTATTTCTTTTGATCCCACAGTGAACTAAAGCATAAAAAATGCTTAGGTACAAAATCCAAGTATTAATATAACTCTAGTTGGACAGAGAGATTCAGCACAATCCTGAAAACTTACATAAGTAGTAACCAAGATAGGAGAAGGCGGAGAATAAATAATGCAACAAAATGAGCAAGACAAGTTCAATCCTTTTATGCAGAAAATGCACATTTGATACAAAAAACAGACCTTGGCATAGTAATCTTTCCAGACCCGACGAGCGATCTGATGACCTCCCAAGTCAAAAGCTTTGAACTTTATCTTCCCAATACTCAACTCTTCAGATGTAGGATACTGAGTCGGCTGATGCTGAACCAACCTCTGTAAATGAAATGCAATTAAAAATAATCAAAAAGGAGACAATATTTTATGATAAATCAAGACTAATAGACCACAATCAATCAATCAACTACACGCAATATGAATCCTCAGCACCCATTTGCTCATTTCAACTCAATTCAAATTTTCTTAAAGATTCATCATAATTACTCAATCCATCTCAAATTATGTGATGCACTTTCTTTTTTAGCCTATCGCCCTATCCCAAAAAATGCTAGCTTTCTATATTTAGAAACAAGACTATTAGAACACAATCAATCAATCAATCAAGTATACGCAATATGAATCCTCAACACCCATTTGCTCATTTCAACTCTTTCTAATGTTACTCAAAGAATCATCATAATTACTCCATCCGTCTCAATTTATGTGATGCACTTTCTTTTTTAGCCTACTGCCCTATCCGAAAAAAAGAGGCTAGCTTTCTATACTTAGAAACAAGAGTATTAGACCACAATCAATCAACTAGACACAATATGAATCGTCGGCATCCATTTGCTCATTTCAACTCAATTCAAGTTTTTCTCAAAGATTCGTCTCAATTTATGTGATGCAAAATGCTAGCTTTCTATATTATAAATAATTTAACTTTAAACTTCTCATTGTATCACACAAATATCTATAGCTTATTTTATACCACAAGTTTCAAAACTCTTTCCTTCACAAACTCCATGTTCAATCAAACAACATCACAACAACAGCGACCCAGTTATATCCCACAAGTGGGGTCTAGGGAGAGTAGTGTGTACGCAAACCTTACCTGAGGCTGTTTCCGATAGAACCTCGGCTCAAGAAGACGGAAAAATCAAACAACAACACAAGTTATGGGAAAAATAAAGGGATTAATAATAGTACCTCATCTTTGAGCATGTGAAGCAGAGTGGTTTTGCCAGCATTGTCAAGGCCTAAGAATAAGATCTTAGCTTCTTTTTGCCACAAACCTAGAGATGATAAAACTCCATACAACCAATCCCACAGAAACATCTTCTTCTCTAGTTTTCTGCAAAAGCAGATCTGGGGGTGCTTATATATGTGACATTTTCATTGTTATAACTAGATGATTAAAGAATTGTTTAAGGGTTTAGGTGAAGCTAATGTGAAATGAAAACTGAAGCTAATTGTTGTTGGAAAAAGACAAATTTGTACGTGCTGTACTGCTGTGATATGTGGATGGATCTGAACTGGCATTCATTGCTGTCTTTTTGTTACTAACCCAAATAGCCACTAGAGGTATATATATTCATCATGTGTATAAAATAAAGGCTAAAGTAGTAAACCGTTAATCTGACCGGTTATTTGTGTAATTTATTATTATTTTTATTTTTGTAAGGGATTTTTACGCAAATAGCCAGTTAGATAGACGGTTTATTTTTTATCCAGTATAAATTTATATTTTTTTATACATGACTAGTTTTAGTGTGCGTGCGTTGCACGTGTATATATATATATCTATATATATATAATACAATATTTGTTTAAATGATGAAAATAAATTTTCTCACGCTAACAGAGTAATCGTATTCAATATCTTCTAAAAACACATACATGAGGAATTCAGATAAATTAGTTGTATATTATTTTGTAATTATACATATCTTATACTCCCTTCATTTCAATTTTGATGATACTTTTCGCTTATCGGAAGTCAAATTGTCTGACATTTGACCAACATTTTAAAATGTTCTTTTTTTTCATATTGACATGAGAAAAATTATAAATTATAATATTTCTCGTATAGTTTTTGAATATCTAAATTTTAAAATATTAAGTTTAACTAATTTAATTTATTTTAAATTCTTAAATCTAGTATGGAATTATTTATTTGTAAGAATAAATATAAAATAGCACTCTTTCATTTGATATACGCTTGTTCTGTGGTAAAAAATAAATAGAACAAATATTTTTTTTTCTCTCTCTAAATTCCTTTTAATATTGATAATCAATCTGGAAACATGTAAATTTATAGTATTTCATGAAAAATTGCAGCTCTTACTTTAGACCCCCAACGCCTCACATGGCTCACACTTCAAACAAGGAACGGATCTTCTAATTAAGGTAAAATTTCTAAAGTTTTATATGGTGCAAATTTCAAATTTGTTTCTAGCCTCTACTAGCGCGCGCGCGCTCTCTCTCTCTCTCTCTCTCTATCTCTATCTTTCTCTCTTTTTGAAGAACAAAACTCATCCGAGCTAAGATCTTATGCCTACCAAATCTGCTACTTTTCCTATTTCTATATCTACATGCTGTCTCTCGTGCTCATCTAAGCTACATTTGAACAAAACCCACTTGGTTTTTGCGAAGATTTCATAGTGTACTCATGATTTCGGGTATGTTTTTCTGATTTTATTTAACTCTGGTTGTCTCTTCTCGATTTTTCACAATTTTGAGCTGGGTTAGGTGTGGCCATCCCCTTTAATAGACTGAATGCACTACTCTCTTGGTCTCAACATCATTTAGTTTGCAAAATCTAATATCTGGATATCTTTTCTTCTTTCTTGGCTTTCTCATGTTTTTTCCAACTTTAGATTCTAAGGATTTCCAGAATAAAATTTTGGAACAAGCCTGAAATTCGTTAGAAAATAGGGGTATGACTTGATTAATGAAGATCAGAAATGAAAGTACTAGCCGTGGAAGTAAGATACAGAAGCAGTAGGCTGGAGAGACCTGCTATTTTAAGCATATTTTAACCAAAATATTAACTGTGTATTTAGTAGTCGAGTTGAATCTAGTGGGTTGGGATGGACCTGCTACCTAACACTTGCATCCTCCCCTGGAGGTTAGAGTGATGTTGAATCAACTTTGTAAACATTAATGTCTAATGTTCGGTTCTCGTCTTTGCAGGTTCTGAGTGGAGTGGCATTGATGTCGTTTAAAGCTGCAAGGGTTCCCAACGACAAAGAACATCCTTATGGTCACTCTTGATTTGTATCTACAGTTTACTCTTTTGATCTTACATCACTTGGTATTGCATGATTTTACCTTTTAATCTTGTGTGTGCATTTACTCGAGTATAGGCGTAATAATACCAACCTAATTAGATTAAGTTAAGGGCGGGCAGGGTTTGTTCCCGTGGATGATTTGGTAAAATGTAATCAATACTGAATATTGTAGAGCCAAGGTATGAATCTTATTTATGGCTTACAGTAATATATTTTTATGAAAAAAAATATAGTTACATCTATTTCCAACTTAAGTCTACTTCACCCCGTCGGTTTCCCCAAAGTTTATGATTTGGTAAATATGTGAATAATTCACTACATTCAATTCTACTTGAGTTGCACTTTTACTTCTCTTATTGTTCTTCATTTTAGTTATACCTTTACTCTGGTGCTTGTAAAGGTACTCTCTCCATGGTCCTTATGGCAGTAAGCAATAAACTTGGTGTTAACGTGCTCAATAGACCGAATTTATGATTGCAGTCATTGTATGACGTTGAGCTACCTCTTCATACTCTCTATCCCAATTTGTGATACATAATTCCGATTGAAATTCAAACAACTTCTCTGTGTATTATGGTTTTCGTAAACAAGTTAACTAGCCTTTCAATTTTAAGAATGTGTTGAGTATAGTGATGTTAAGCTAATTTAAAACATCCTCTCATATCAATTTAAAGCTTAGGTAGCTTGACCCATTATGACGGAGTAGTTAGCCTGTTATATATTGCCTATTAATCAAGTCCATTGGATACTTACCACTAGCTCTTTGAAACATTAGAGGTAGCTTTGAGGATATAAGAAGAGATGCCTTAAAAACTTATAAAAAACTTGAGAAGGTTTGTGCTCTTGACAACTTGTCGAATGTTAGATATTGAGGAATCTTACTTTCTGAAGACAATGGTGAAGGACCTATCTGGTGATTTGCAGGTACCTAACAAAGTTTGGTGTTCATGGCACAAGAATTCAGAAACAGAACATGATTATCCATAATTTTTTAAACAATTGTCTCATAAATCATTATTTTTAACTGTAAAGTACTACTTGGTTGTTTCGACGCCTCTATTCCATCACCATGAACATAACTAACTTTAAAGTCATCACAAAAGAAATAGATCTAAAATCAGTAAATCACACTCCTTGTTCATCACTTTCTTGATTTCTTTATTTATGATGAGCCAGCAGTTCTCTTTTAAAGGTGTCCCTTTCCTCCTCTCTTGCTAGTTTTAGAAAGTGCTTCCCTTAATCTTGATGGTGGAATGTATTGTCTTCCCTCCCTCATGATGAAGAGTGAGCTTGTACCTTCCCTAGAGTGCTCGCCAATTTCTGCTAAAATGAATGCCGAACTCTTTAGTTGCTCTCCGGGCTGTGCCATTTGCTGGTTAAGTTGTTTGATCTGACATATATATATAAGAACATAAGGCAGCTGGTAAGTTTCAATATTTACCACTTAACAATCAAAAAAAGAGTTCCAATATTTACTACACAGATAGTAAGAAAAAAAATCTTTTCTAAAACAAGAATAAATTTCAAGAAATGTAATTACTGTTTGTTTAGTCACAATCGAGGAACTAGATTGCATTGATGCTTGACTCTCACTAATAATACTTGAAACCTGCATAAGCAAAATCTTTAGTGGTTTCAGTCTTAATAAATTTAACCAACTCATCTGCAAAGAATAAAAAAAATAAAATAAAAAAGTACATTTGGAGTACTTGCTTCTGTTACATTGCTTGGTTCGCTAGAAAGACCTTCTCTGCTAAGTTGTTGTTGAACCTCTTCTTGGTGGCTCAGCATGATAATAGGACATCTTCTACTATTATGTCCTGTTTTTCCACATGTACCACAGTTCTTCTTTTTTCCTTTTCTGGATGCTTTTAATGAGTTATGCTTTTTAAGATCTGGTTCTTTTGGAGATGTCTCATCGGGTCCTCTCTTTCTTAATTTTTTCGGTCTACCAGGCTGAGTCTTGTAAATGGGTGGCAGCACTGGATCTACTCCTGTCTTAGGCCACTGTGCAGAGCTATTAATTGGCAGGATTGAGGGTCCATAACTCTTCATATACTGCTCAGTTGTGTAGCATTCGTGGACATACATTTCGGGTTCATCCTTTTTAACCCAAATAGCCGCAATTGCATGATGACAAGGTATTCCAGTTAACTCCCATCTCCTACAAGAACATGTCATCTCCTTAAGATTAACAGAGAATAGTCTAAGGTAGATGTCCTCAATTTGGTAATGGAATTGGTCAGCTTTAGTGGCAATACATTCAGCAGCCTTAGATTTATTTTGCTCTAACTTCAGCAAGATTTTTGGACAGATTGTGTGCTCATGCCTCATCATGTTATCTCTATTCTTCTGAAATCTTGACATCATGACTCGAGCATTGTCAAAATGTGCTTGTCTCTAGCAAGCAATAGTACGCTATTGAACGATTCACACAAATTGTTCAATAGCATATCACACTTTGTGAAAGAAGAGAAAAAAGCTCTGGACCAGTGAATAGGAGGCTTATTATTGAACCATTGAGGGGCTTCCGAATTCAGCTTCTCCATTTCTTCCATATACTTATGGAATTGAGCTTCAGTAGTTGCCCTTGCAACATTCCATAAGCATTCAAAGGGTTTCAAATTGAGCAGGTCGAAGACTGAGTACCTGGAGTGCAAGTTTAGCGCTGAGCCGAGAGGAGTAGGCGGGGACGTGAAGCTTGGAACTCAGGTCATCCCCAAGAGGGACAACTTCAAGTACCTGGGGTCGGTGATTCAGGGGGACGGAGAGATCGGCGAGGACGTCACTCAGCGTATAGGGGCGGGCTGGATGGAACGGAGGCTTGCATCTGGAGTCTTGTGTAACAAGAAAGTGCCATCGAAACTCAAAGGTAGGTTCTATAGAGCTGTGGTTAGACCGGCCATGCTGTACGGGGCGGAGTGTTGGGCGGTTAAGAACTCCCATACCCAGAGGATGAAGGTAGCGGAGATGAGGATGCTCAGGTGGATGTGTGGTCACACTAGGATGGATAGGATTAGGAATGAAGATATTCGGGTGAGGGTGGGCGTGGCCCTGGTAGATGATAAGATGCGGGAAGCGAGGCTCAGATGGTTCGGGCACGTGAGGAGGAGAAGCCTTGACGTCCCGGTGAGGAGGTGCGAGCGGCTGGCAGCGGTAGGTTTGAGAAGAGGTAGAGGGCGGCCTAAGAAGTATTGGGGAGAGGTGATTAGGCAGGACATGGCTAGACTGCGGATTTCCGAGGACATGGCCTTTGATAGGGAGGTCTGGAGGTCAAGCATAAGAGTTGTAGGGTAGGGGGTACTAGAGCTTTTTGGGTGGGTGGGGTTGGATAGGGTTTGTCCTAGATGGCGTACGGTTTTTATTTAGCTCCACTGAGATTGCTGTTGATTTTTGTCCCGGGAGGTAGATTCTGGCTGATATCATTACATGTCATGCATTTTACTGTCTTTATTGCTTATGTTACTATTTCTACGATTTCTATTGAAGTTACTAATGAATTGTCGTTTTTCTTGTTCTTGTTTTTTTATTATTTTTTCTGAGCCGAGGGTCGATTGGAAACAACCTCTCTGCCCTATCGGGGTAGGGGTAAGGTCTGCGTACGTATTACCCTCCCCAGACCCCACTTTGTGGGAATTTACTGGGTAGTTGTTGTTGTTGTTGTTGTTGTGTAGGTGCCTCGCACAAAACCTGTGTGCAACATCTGGAAGTACCTCATCAAAAGCTGGAAGTAGACCCTTTTGCTTATTAGAAATAAAAGTCTATGTAAAAGGGTTTTGTGAGATTCCTAGGTCTTCATTTGAGAGCATTGAATGTATGTGGTGTTTTTGGCGATGCATCAAAGATGTTTTAGTGAAACCTTTTCAATTTCTTATAGATAGTGAATACCATTTTGTGTTAGCATACAGTTCCTTAAAGTGTTTGAAACTGAGTTCATAATTGGCACATCATCAAGCCAATAATTCCAAGTATTTCAGTATGTATGCTGTGATACTTCGCTTTGATTGTCCCATGAAATCTTTAACTAATTAACTCAAAGAATACTCACATGATGGGGTGGATTGTAACCCACTTTTAGAACGCAATTCCATCGTCGCTTTCGGATCAAATAGATCAAGGACTTCTTTGTGATGAAGAAGCGTCCAAATATTGCAGAACTAGGGTTCAACTAGGGTACGTGATGTCCAGGACGATATTTTTCTTGAAATTTTTATTTCTTCAAACAATAATGTTCTAAATACCTGAATTGCCCCTTTTAGCAGTAAACTCTCCGTTAAAATTTTTTAGGTCTGTTAGTTGAAGGATCAAAACTACTCACATGATATAATTGAAGGTTAGTAGTGGTAAGATGGATAACACAAGGACTAAAGCAGAATATAGGTATAACAGAGGGACTAAAAGTGCTATTTTCCCTATTACTTAAATTATAGTTTAAATACCTACATAAAATATAAAGAAATATCGCATATGCGGGGAATGAAAATTATCGAGGGCAAAATAAACCTCGCATAGGATGAAAAGGAAGAGAATAACAATTATTCAAAGTTGAAAGATGATTGATTTTTAAAGTAAACGTGGGGGATGCAAATGATTTTCACTAATTGATATATGGTGCACCTTAATTTGTTGTATGACAGTGACTGAAATTTAGATACTGATATTAGCAAAAGAGAAAAGAGAGAGAAGAAAAAACCTTTGTTCAAACACACAAAGTTTATAAGACGCCACCTTAAATATATGTAATATCATTTTTACTAGATGACAATTCGAGATATTATAGCAACATATAACAGATCAGAATCATTGCTGAAGCCAAATAGGAAAAAAATTCAGCTAAATTGCACACTAGAAATATAACAAGAATATTGTTGCATCAAGGAATAGGAAGATCAAGGTATCAGCACTCTCAGTGCTCAACTTTTCTATGTTTGGTTTCTAATCTATATCACTACATTTCAAACAATCTCTACAACATTTGGGGAAAACAAACTCTCAACATACACTACTGCCTCAGCTTAATTTTGAGGCATTTTGTAGCAAAACGTCATTATTTTGGTGCATACAAAGGGGCCTAAACCTATTATCAGACGCAAGCGGAGGGGGTAATTTTTTCAATTCTCGTATAGAGGGATTCCACAGAAACAAATCCCGACGAGAAACTGAAATACACAACAAGCCATTGCAGGAACCCTCAATTTTGTATTCACCAGACGAACTTTTGCAAGGAAAATCAAGCTTAACATGCCTCTGGTGAGATTCTTGATACAAGATTGAGGAAAGGGGGCAAGTGTAAAACTGGGGACGCCCAAGAGAATCATTAAAAAGAAGCCTCAAATCCTGTTTCTTGGTGGACAATTTTAGATGGGCCTTGATGAACTGTGGACTAGAGATTATAGAATTCCAAAATCTTGAAACGCACTTCATCATAAGCAGAATCATGACAGGTAGTTGCAGGAGTATTTCAAAGATCACATCATATGGCGGTGATCTTGAATCAGGAGATGAACTAGCAATTGATGTAGTTACTGTATCCATTGGAATGCTGATGTGAAGAGTGAACAACAGAGTTTGTATTTTGTTTCTTGAAAAACTCTAGCTAAATTGCTCTAACAATATGGCGGGCAGATTGTTTGTGTTGTCACTTTGATTTTGAAGGCATTTCATTTGTCTATATATCTAACGGTATTTTTTGAATTGGACTGTTGGCCGTTCCATTAGTGGCGTCGGACGATTAGATTTGGGCTTTTAACATATTCCCCGAAATAGCCAAAAATAAGTGGAAATGACACCAGGTAGCCACTCTATGGGTTGTTATTTATAAATTAGCCAATGCATTTTGAATTTTTATTTTTCAGGCTAATTTTTTAGGACAAAATTTCCTGAATTAAAATTAAACTTAAAGACAAAAGTAATTAATGACTAATTCCTAAATTGTAGCCCTAAGACTTTGTGCACCTCTCCCCAAAAGTATAATCCCACTAGTGGGATCTGGGGAGGGTAGTGTGTACGCAGACCTTACCCCTACCCTAGGGTAGAGAGGCTGTTTCCGATAGATCCTCGGCTCCCTCCCTCCAAGAACTCTGAACATTGCTCTTGGGATGACTCGAACTCACAACCTCTTGGTTGGAAGTGGAGGATGCTCACCACTAGAGCAACCCACTCTTGTCCTGGATAATTACAGTCCAAAAAACCTATTTGGGCATGTTAAGAGGCTCTTGTTGGTTTTCATTAGGTATACATAGGTAGACATTATAAGACTTTCTTGCAATACATAGTGATTGGCTTCGAATCACATGAAGCATATATAGATGTCCATGATCGTCGGAAGAGATGGAGAATTAATTTTTTTTTTATTTGGGAATAAGCATTGTCGTCGCGTCTGGAGTTGTAGATAGTAGGGGGAATCAAAGTATAAAAAGTCATAGTTCTTCGGTAATTGAAGGATATTCCAAGTAGAAGACCTGACTTATTATATTGCATTTGAATTTATTTTACATTCTACGTTTCCGAAATGGATCATCTCAAATATTTTACGTTTTCTATGATTAGCACTATTTCAAGTAGGGAGAAATTCAAAAATAGCCAGATTTACCACTGGTCGTTGAAAAATAGCAAAGTTTCAAAAGTCAACGAAATTTAGCCACTTTAAATCTGAGCGAAAATACTGTTCAAAATCCGGAAAAATACGCCCGCAAATTTTACGGGAGTTCCAGCAAGTATAATTGTCCAGTATAATATACTGGAGTTTGGAGCACTGGTGCTCCAGTCTCCCGCAAATTTTACAGGAGTTAGCAAAGTATACCGGTCCAGCATAATATGCTGGAGTTCGTACACAAATGCACCAGAACTCCCGTATATTATACTGGACCGGTCCCTGTTGCAGCAAAATAGTGGCTATTTTTCATTGACTTGATAAACGCTGGCTATTTCTCATTGACCAGTGTGAAAACTGGCTATACCATGATATTTTAACTTTCAAGTATCTTCTAGTCTATCCATATTTGGCCCAGCTCCTAATTTATTACCCGATCTTTTTAGCCTTACAGCTTGTTTGGCTGATTGTTACCTATTGTATCGTATTGTATTGTTATCTGGAAATAATGTTTGTTTTGATTGTTATTTAAAATCGATTGTATCCTATTGTTAAATTCATTGTTCCAGAACAACCAAAAGTCCCATTTTTTGAAACAACTGATTTGGTGTGGTGGGATTGTTTTGTATTTTCTTTTCCAATTATGCCCTTACTTATTACTCTATAATTCTATTTTATCCTTTATTTTTTTTTATTTTAACTCCAAATCTCCAACTTATTGACCTACTTTATCCACGTCCATCTTTTCCAGAGTTGGTTGGTGTCGTTCTTTAATTTTCATCCAAATCTCTGTTCGTTTCTTTATCTCTTTCCATCGTATTAGATTTTTTTTTTCGCTAATGATAGTTAACTTTTTTCTTCAAGTTTTTGCTCTTGTTTTCAAGCTACATAATTGATGATAAATTAGTAGAAAGAGGTTTCTTAAATTATTTTTATACGTAATTCTTGATAAATTTTGTTTAAAACAATTGAGGATATTTTAGTAAATTTATCAGTTAAGTACAGTACAATACAGTCAAACCAAACAATAAAAATATTATTTAACAAAAGCAAACGATACAATCTATCCAAACGTTGTATCAATAAAATGATACAATATAATACAATACAATATAGTACAATACATTATAAAACGACGGGCAACAATGATCCAAATATAGTGTTAGTCTTACATTAGCCGACATAAGCTCTCTTTCTTCGTAACTCTTCTCCTATTCTCACCTGTAATGCCTTTGCTACAGTCATTTCTCTTTCTTCCATCCCCCACCCTCACTCCTATGCCCTAACTGAACACCTTCAAATATTATAACATTAGATAGGTCAGCCCGTGTTATGCCCGATATTGTTGTTTGTCTTTATTATTATTCATTTTTTGGCATTACATATTTTGTCTATGTTTTATAATTTCTTGTCAAAGAATTTATTGTTCTAACATTTCTCACAATTCATCAAGAATTTATTGTTCTACCATTTCTCAGTTTTAATCTTGCATGTCTAAAGTATTATGTATATATTTTCAATGGTACATGGGAATACATTGTAATGAAAAGAACACACTATTTCTTGATGTGTTGGTTCATTCAGCACGCGCCATTCTTTTTTCGGGCTATATAATTTATTTATTTTTTTTTAAAAAAAGGGCTATATGGACCATCAGAGCAGGCTATCCACATACGGCTACAAAGTTAATTAAATGATGATAGTATGCATAACAAACGGTGCATTTGAAAACCATAACTATTTTGAAGGCCAACTAAAACAGCTAAACTTCCCCTTTTCTATAATTAATATTTATTGATATGTATTACCAAAAAAAAAAAAAAAGAAATTATTGATATGTATTAACTGAAATAATAGTGTATTATTATCTAGAATCTCTTCTCTTTCCCTACAATTAACAACTATTAATATGTACTAATTTTGCACCGGTTGGAATATAATTTTGATGTTGCACCGGTTGAAATATAATGCTGGCAACTTTCTTTTTCTGAGTAGTTAACTGGAAATTTATATATAATACTAGATAAAGTCTTACATATTACATGTCATAGTGACATCGGGGCTAGATATCCCCTCTTGCAAACATCTATTGTCACTTGTAATGTTTAGGTTCCTAATGATTTAAACATATTACATAAAGAGATAGGTAATATTTTTTAAGATAAGCTATCCCCGCTCATATCCTTTGTCAGAAGTTGATGTACAAAAATCGGTTGTTCAACAAGCATCTTAGTCCCTCTTAGGTTAAAATTACTTGTTTTTTTGTTTTTGTTTTTTGCTTCCTTGGCTAGTGCATCAGCTACAACATTCCCTTCCCTGAAACTATGTCGTAGTAGAAGACCCTTCTCCTGGAGCATTAATAACCTGCATGAAAGAATTAGATTAGTAAGAACTGAATGTCCATTGTTTATTGCGTTAATTACTTCAGTTGAGTCTGTTTCCACTTTTAATGGGTAAAGATTGAATTTTGAAGCCAACTGAAGTCCTTCTAGGAGTGCCTGTAATTCCATGTGTAGAGGAAATAAAGCACTACAGTATTTATGAAAACCTAGAATCCACTTTCCCGTATTGTTTCTAAATACTCCCCCTATTCCACCGTCTGTTTTGATGCATGCCCCATCTATGTTGAGCTTAATCCATCCTTTCTGAGGAGTATGCCATTTAACTTGGATTACTTTGGTAACCTGTGAAGGGAGGTTTTTGGTATTGGAGAAGTGGAATTCAATTGCATGATTGTAAATGGTCTTTAAGGAGGGTTTTCTGTTGTTGTTATTAAGGTTGTTGTAGTTGCGATTAATCCAAATTCTCCAGATTAGAAAGGGAAGGAGGTCTGACCATTCCAGATGTGAGGATTTGATTCTAGGGATCTAATTTCTAATGTGGATGAGCCAGTGTTGGTTAGATGTTGGAGTAGGGTTAGTGATACCAAGCTCATTCCATAAGTGATGCACTAGGGGACATTTGATGAAGAAGTGCTCTTGTTGGCCCAAGTAAAGGTTAGTTTTGAAGACTGACAAAGGAACTCAGACATGAACCAGGTCCATCCAGTGGTCCATCCTTCAGGTTCACAAAAACGGGCAGATTCAAGCATGTGGGATGCACGTGAAGGAGATAAGCTTAACTTGGTGTATTTAATATCTCCTGATCGAAAAGGTTGCATAATTGATAAGGAGAAGGAGTCCTTAATCAAAGAGAACACAAGTCAAGATAGGGAAGGAGTTAGAAGTTGAAATCAACTAGAACTCTTCCACCAAGGAAGAGTTGCATCAGAACTCTAGTTATTTCTTCATCTACTAACTCTATAAATTGCAGGATGTTCTCACATTACAGGTGTTGCACAAAAACGCAGAAGTTAAACGTGAATTGGGAGCAAAATAGCAAGGCTTTTTGCAAGCAGTTCGTGTGTGATTCAAGTGTGCAAACCAGAAGCTACATAAACCAGATTGAAGAACCAGCTTCATAAAGAGTTTTATGTATCTTTCTTTATTTCTAGTTCAATTGTAGTAAGTGTTTCATATTGTACCTTTCAGCTTTATCTAGAAGCAATTGTAATAGGTATTTTGAGTATTCAAGTTAGAGTTAACTTGAAGTTGTCGCAGCAGTTAGAGGCTGGTTGCTACAACAGGATTAGAGTTAATCCTTAGGTTTACAAAGAGTTTTGTAAATGCAGTTTTGGCTCAGTGATTTTAGTGGAAGTTTGAGAAAATCCTACTAGGTAGTAGGTCGTGGTTTTTTCACCTTTTGAGTCAGGTGTTTTCCACGTAAAAATCTTTGTGTTCTTTATTTTATGTACTTTTAATTCCGCAAACAACAGTCGTTAGTACACCTAGAAGAACCAGGTCCTTCCAGAAGCAGTTTAAGCAAAAATTGAGTACCACACAAATCACCCCCCCTCTTATGTGGCATTGACGTTTAGAACATCAATTGGTATCAGAGCAGGTTA